AGAAAAACATAACCAGCCTGGGATCTGGCGTTATGGGGATCAGATATGTAGCCAGCGTTCTAATAGCCCACCAATATCATATCTTGGTTTCTTTTATAGAATAGTCCAAGATCTTTTGTACCTTGAAGATAGCGAAGGAAATGTTTAACGACATTCCATTGCCTCCTTGTAGGATAAGCACTATACCTTGCTAGCAAGTTCACCGCAAATGTAATATCAGGCCTGGTGCAATTTGCGAGATAAAGAAGTGCTCCAATGGTGCTCAGATAGGGAACTTCTGGTCCTAACATTTCTTCATTATCTTCTTTGGGTCTAAATGAGTCTTTATCCACTTCGAGAGACCGGACGACCATTGATGTGCTAAGTGGATGAGATTTATAAAATCTTTCCAAAAATCTTTTTCACGTAGGTTGACTGGTGTAGAAAAATTCTTTCTGGGAAAATGCTCGATCTGCAGGCCGAGACAAAACTTGGTTTTTCCCAAGTCTTTCATTTCAAACTCCGTCGTTAGGCATGAGCTAGCTTCTGTAAGCTCCTTGTGCATTCCAATAACATTTATATCATCAATATAGACTGATATAATACAAAAGCTGTCACCGGGGTAAGCTGACATATATATATAGACTGCATTGAAGCCCATGTAAGCTGACATGGGCCATAGGTACTAAATTAATATAAGCTGACATATATATATAGACTGCATTGAAGATCACATGTAAGCTGACATATATATATCAATATAGACTGCATTGAAGCCCATGTAAGCTGACATCATTATTTACATATCTCCTCTTCAGAAGGAACTTGCTCAGTCAGTTATACCACATTCTACCCGACTGTTTCAAGTCGTATAACGACCTTTATAATTTAATGCTATACATGTTGCGATTCTTGTTTTCTCTTAATTCAGGAATTTTAAGTCCATCAGGGACTTTCATATAAAAATATTAGCGTCTAATGACTCATATTAAAATGTGGTCATGACGTACATATACTGCATATATAAATTCATAGTTTCTGCCATATGTATTAACTTGCGGAACGTAATACAATCACTAATAGGAGAATATTTTACATCTAAATCGATGTCGGGTCTCTGCGTGAACCCATTGAGCTATGAATCTCGCTTTATATCTCACCACCTTACAAATTTATTTATTTTTCTTACGAAGACCCATATATATCCTGCTGGGATATATGAACTACAAGTTCAAAATACTTTAGCGAGTTCAGCTCAGCCTCAATTGCCACTTTCCATCTCACCTAGTCTGAATGCTTCAAGCACTCTACTACCGACTTAGGTTCTGGATCCAGATTATTTTCTGAGATAGTAAGAGCAGCTGTAGAGGCAACTATGTTGTCGACAACTTTTATATTTATATTATATATTTCTCCTTTTTCACAAATTCTTGGCAACTTTAATTCTTATTTTATGTTAACCAAATCCTTGTCATTTCCCTTAACAATTGGATTTGGCCGTTCTGCATCTCCAATATTATGACTATCAAGTGCACGTGCAATTTACTGGAGATTCCATCTTCAGGATGAACCTCTTCTAGAGGTTATGAGAGTGACTGTCTTTCTATATATATAATTTAGTTTGCCGCAAACTTTTATCTTTTACAGTAACATGTTTTATATGCTTCTGGCACAATATGCTTCTGCCATACCAAATCATCAATGATATATTCAACATGAATATGAGGCTTAGTCACTCTTTTCTTGGCAGATTATCATGTGAACTTCTGGTTCAGTTTGACTAGTACGTGGATATAAATATTGAAGATCTTTTTCACCAATGGAATTTCTTGACATTATTTTGTATTTTGGGCACTAATCTCCCCCTAATGTCGAGAATTGATCTTCAATGAAAATGCAGTCAGCGTACCAAATTATAAATTGATCCCCTAACATGGGCCATAGGTACTAAATTATTGACGGAGTTTCATAAATAATGTATGTACCTTCAACGAGGTCCCATAGATGTACGCTATGGTGGTGATATAGAAACATGGACTGCAAATAAAGAACACGCAGATGGAAAATGTTTTGCTTCTTTACCACGTATTAGATAAAGGGGGAAAAATTATGATATGTAGTTGGTCGGATTTGGTTTGAATGCCCCATTTAATTTAAGAAAATACGACAAATCATATTTTGCCCAAGATGACCCAATCGCTCATGTCAGAATTTAAAAGAATTTGGGTCCCTAAATCTCAAACTTATCGCAACATGGTGTATTTTAGGTCAGACAAATTCTAAAATATACACATATAAATAAAAATCACATAGGTTCACAAGAGTTTAAAGCAAAATCAAGATAAATTAAAATTGTCTGACAAATGTATATAATCCAAATATAGAAAAACCAAATAGTTTACCTTGACCACCTCAATAAGATCTACTACCTCCCCCTCGTTCGAGCTTATGAATATTAATTTGAATTATGACATGTGCTTCAGGCACCATGACTGAACCAATTAAACTTGCATTATGGTTTCTCACAACAGCTGATTGTGTTTTTAACAACTACTAATGCAAGGATTAGTACATAATGCTTAATATAATTTTTAGTTGTACTATTGTAAGAGTACAAGGTTACTTGTTGAGTTGTATTCAGTCGATGGTTTAAAATCCAAAAATGGCTACAAGATAAGATCTCCTACTATGTTCATAGCCTCCCTCTTGTCCACGCGTATAAGTAATTTTCTGAATTGTAGCATGTGCTACAAACACAACTCGTAATCCAACTAGCCTGACATTGTGATTTCTAATCATCAATTGATTATGCTTCTCTACGACTACTAATCAATTCAGAATGCTAAGTGCAATTCTTGGTCATGTACTGCTGCTGGAGTACAATATTATTTGCGTGGAATAGGGAAAAGAATTTTTCGATCAATTTTATCACTGTCTGTAATGTTCTGCTTACAGAGTTTCAGCTGTTAGATAATTTGGTACAGAGCTGAATCATATTTAGTCATGTATTTGAAATTCAAAAAGTTCTGATTCAGTCTGCCAGTTGCGTTTGAGGGAAGATTATTAGTTTCCATAGATCAAAGCGATCCTTCAGGGATTGCCTAGAAAAGTGAATACTTTTTCACTGAGGTATTAATTTTTCACGTCTTAATTGATAGAGAGAAAATTTAAAGTGTTTGCCTTCTGGGCAAAGATACTTAAAGAATCAAGAGATATAATTGTGCAAAAATCACAGGTGTGTCCAGTAAAAAATGAACGTTCGATGCCAAAGACAAGTAATAATTACTATAATATATCACATTGCACTAATCATGGGGATGAAAGATTAGTGCATGAGAAATTAAAAATATTCACATTTTAATAAGATCACACATAATCACAAAAATCATCAAGTTCCTTTTTCTAAAAATCTTCATAAATGTTATCTTTCAAATGTTTGCTTCTGGCAAACTAGTCTGATATTAAAATTCACACAAAATTTTAAATGCTCGGACGATCAATGACCATCACAAACTCAAGCAAAATAGAATATTTAAAGCAAAAGCATCAAATTGATATATTATGACAATTTTTCATGATTGATGCTCTGTATCTACTTCTGCATATAATCATTTGTCTTTTGGTAAAAGTTCACTTTCTTTGTAAAGCTAACATACACAATTAATGATCTATATAGTAAAACATTATATCAATACCACATGTCTGTGACAGAGGAGATACATATCATATGATTTATATACAGACTCATGGATTCATCAAAATAATAAAAAAACTTATTGGTGGCAACTAGCTGTGAGCATGTGTGTATTTTTCTTTAATGATATTTAATTAAAATCAAAATTTAGACTCCTAAATTAATGACTTTATGCTGCAATTTATCCTCTAATTTTTTTTAACAACATCTCTCATACAGTTGTCCTCTATACTCTTAGCTATAGAAGCTTTTTATAATTGAAAATCAAATCTCTTTATGCAGTGGACTCCATGTATGACATCATTTATCTAAATTGTATTAAAAAAACTATATAACTATGAGGGCCACCTAGATAAACCAGTTACTATATGGATCTTTCATATGAGATGATCAGTTAAACACACACTCCCTCTCATCGAATGTGTTTTAACATGCTAAGTTTAGCCTTAATATCCTATATGTTTTGTCCTATATATTACACAAGTACTAGATATCAAACAATGAGTTTATTATTCTCGTTATTTATCAATCTTGATACTATATATTTGCACATACATAAAAGATTACACAAGATTACAGTTCATTTCCTCGACTAGTTATTTCATGTAGACTAATCTGCATGTGATGAAATATCTGCCTTAATACTATTGTTATGCCTAGTACCAAAGAGGGGGGAAACTAATTAGTAAATAATGACCAGATACTATATGTGCAAAGGGTATTAGGAACTTATCAGGAACTAATCTCAACTCAGATATGCTTGATGCCCATTCTTGCTATGATTTCTTTTGTAATATATGAAAATGAAAACAAATCAGGCTAACCTGATTCACCGCAGGAACAATTTTGGCAAACTGAAGCAGCTCCTCAATTTGCTGAACACTGAAATTGCTTACGCCAAACGGACGATTACGAACCAGCTAGCTAGAGCTTTCGTGCTGATAACGTGTTGTAATCTCGTTGTTGTATCTACATACATCACATATCAAAGGTAAGAATCGAACATGAAATGTAAAAATAAATAAACAAGAGAAGAGATAGGGAGAAAGTGATCATCTCATTTTATTCATCTTCATTTCTCCTCAATACATTTTGTCTTCCATGGATTATATTATATAGATGTGGAAGAGAATACTAAAAGTCACAAGTAGGTGAAGAGTCTTCTTCTAGTAATGTCCACATTCATTGTATTTATATTTACAACAATATCAACCAGACCTGAGCGTAAAAAAAATATTAGTATGCTAATTTGGCCCGTAAATTCACAGAGGGGTAATTCTGCCAAAGATCACCAGAGAAAAGGCGGGAAAACTCCGACCTTGGCGCCTGGCCCTCTCGTCGCCCATTTCAAGGCCCAAACCCTTCACATCCGTCTCCCCCCCTCTCTTCGCTCTCCCTAGCTCTTCGCGAGAGGAGGAAAAAAAAAGGAAAAAAAGATAGAAAGAAAACAATGGAACAAGTGTTGAAGGTGAAATCGAAGCAAAACGAAAACCCTAGAACCCAAAATTTGTTTCTTTTTCCACTCCGCTCATTATTAATCTTTGTTCTTCTGTGTGATCCAGACATATTTTGGGTTCTCCCAGTTCCGACCGTACCAGAAAGAAATCATCGATCAAGTACTAAACGGGAGGGATTCTTTAGTGGTCATGGCCACTGGAAGCGGAAAATCTTTATGGTACGATTCCAAAACCCTATCTTTGTCGTCCCCTTTTCTGGATATTGATCATCTCTGGTGTTCAGTACAGTTTAAAAGCCCCAGTCCTTAAAAAAAAGGATTTTTATACAAAGCATGTATTTGGGTCCAGTTATATGCGCCCGAATTTGAGAATGCCCCTGTCAATTGGATTCACTGATGTTCATTGTGCCCAAATTTGAGAATGCCCTGTTAATTGGATTCAGTGATGTTCATTACCAATTCATATATACATTTGAAAGGAAGGAATTGGCTACCATTTGTTAGGCGAAAGAGTAAAAATGTGAGTGGTTGTTATTTGTGGAGTACATGGTGGATATGCTCAAGAGAAGGAATGAATGAGAAAAATTTCTTCTGAACATGCAAAATGTTCGTACGGGTTTCAGCAAGCTGTACATATAGTAGGTAAATGTTTGCTATTAGATAGCTGAAATTGTATAAGAGGAAGAGATGAAGATTGTGGACCATTTGCTATAGGAAGAGCACACTGGTCGTGGTTTGTCGAACCTGCTGGAACTCCATATCTTAGAAGTGTGATGATTTTTTTCCCTTTACTAAAAGCTCTTATACTTTGCACATTTCGTTTCTTCTAAGTTCCTATAATGATGCCTTCAACACAGACTTGATCTTGATGGGATCTACATTTTGCTTTTGCAGAATTCGAGCTAAAAGTCCTGGAAGCAGGATGTTAGTCTCCAATGCCCAAAATCTTTTCAGATCTTTAAATCCATTCCATAATCAATGTCTTTGTGTGTTATATTTAATTATTCAGACCAATAGTATTGAATGCAAATATTTTCTTTAAACTCTCATTCTTCTCGTCACACATAACTAGGTGTTTCCCCTTTTAACTGTCACCAATAAGAGAGCTTGTTTCAACTTGGTGTCAAGGTAACATGTATAGATGGGTTTTAGAGGTAGTGGGACAAGTCAAATGAGATTTCTGCTGCACTTCAACGCATACGCTTGGTGGAAGACGGAGAAGGCGTGCTTGCGCTGGGTTCGTGGGAGCCATCAGTGGCTGTCTTGACAGAGCTGAAGCTATATCCCTAACTGAAAAAGTGGATTGATTTGCTTCATACATTAGTTAAAGTTTTTACTCAGTTGGAGGGTTGTTTTCCTTGCTAGGCTTGTTAGAACCGACTGTCAATAAGACAAAAAACTGTAGGTTTATGTAAATAGTTCCCGGCTGCATTCTGAAACTGTTACAAAAAAACCCGATCATTTTTCCCACTTATATCAAACCTAGTTTGATTTCTTATTCTTTAAAGATCTTGGATAATCAACAGCTTTAGTTTGTCATTTTGCTAGATCATTTTGCTATATGAAACCTAGATCATTTTGCTAAGCGAGCTGTCCGCTCACAAACACAAGAACACACACCCACACATGTGACAATTAGTGGGCCTAAACACTATTGACATTAGTGGTAGCTCATTTTGCAAAACGAGCTGTCATCTCATATACATTTTTTCCATAGACACAAACACATATACATAACTTATTTAATTTTGTGCCTTATCATTTTAGTTATTTTTTTGTGTTTTCTTTCTTTCTTTCTTTCTTTCTGTACACACACACACAACCAATTTAATTATGTGTATTATCATTTTAGTTATTTTTTTTGTGTTTTCTTCCTTCCTTTCTTTTTTTCCCCTGATGATATGAGTGATATTGTTCTTATTTTTGACTTTTGTATCTTTTCTAGTTACCAGATTCCTCCACTGGTTAGAAAAAAGACTGCTGTTGTGATAAGCCCTCTTCTAGCATTGATGCAAGATCAGGTAATTTCTGGTCTTGCCTATACATCTTATTTACAGATACGTAGTAGATTCAACTGAGATTATTAACTTACACAGGTCATGAGTTTAAAGCAACGTGGTATAAAAGCTGAGTATTTAGGAAGTACTCAAATGGACAAAGGTATTTACTCTGAAGCTGAGAAAGGTACCTTTCATTTGCTATACATGACCCCGGAGAAAGCTTGCTCACTTCCTCATAGGTGAGAAACTCTGTTTATCATCTCTTTGAAGATCCTGCATTTTATTTTAATCTTCATGGCAATTGCCGGTCCCATGTAATTATCCATCAGTTTTTAATGCAAGCGTACCCCTGTCTGGAAGAAACAATGTGAGTGCAATGGTACATGAATATCTGGAATATCTTGTTGTTCAACCAGGGATTTATATCATCGAAAATTGTGTACTTGTAACCAGGAAGTTGCGGAGTTCTTACTAGGGCTTTTGTGTGTACTGGTTGTTGCATGGAGGATAAGGTTGGTTAATATAGGTTATGGAGGAAGGTTGGTTAAGACATGTACCTTCATGTGATAATGTGCATTATGAAGTTATGTGGATGTCATATAGACTATATATTCTTAACTCTCAAGCTTATCATTACCATCAAAGTTTAACAATTATTTAGTTCAAGAAAGATTTTTCAAGTCACATCGTATCTTGCAAGATTCCTCAGAAAATTTCATTATCAAATGTTCTTGATACGGCCTCTCCCATTTGCTTGTCTTAGGAGCTGGTGAGCAAAACAAAGACCGAAACCATGCTGCTGCCGTAGCTTGATTCTTCACTGTGACCTCAACTGCCAGCTGTTGATTTCAGTTGGGAATCATGTCAGTCCTTATTTGGTTTCTATCACTGTCAGAGTGTCAGCCTATGTTACCTGGGTACTTCTAATTTGAAGCCGTACCCGTACCCGACATGTTCCAGTACCCGTACCCAAACTCCTTGGACAATCGTTGCATATATGCATGCATTTATTTGGGCATGTACTCAACTATATAATACATGTTTTAATTTAAAACGCTTGTCATATATTTTTCGAACATGTGTCCTACACTTTACATCCGCTGCTTTAAACTTGTTGGACATAGGTCAGGTTCTAGGTTATGATTTTGAAGGATCATTTGGATTTCTGGTCCAAAAACTCATGTTTTTCCAATTTATAATCCACATAATAAAAGAAACATAAAAATGTTAATCATCCTTGTTCTCATATAAATTATTAGTTCGAATATATAATATATGTGTATATCAATATTTTTTTTAGCCGTGTCCCCGCATCATACCTTTTGCAAATTTGTTGTGTCCCGTACCTGTACCCATACCTATGCAGCATAGCTGTCAGGCCTCTGCAGAAGTTTGTGCTTAGAAACTTGTAGCAATCCATGCACAAAGCATCTATATTGCTTAGACTTATAATATAGCAGTAGCAACTTCCAAATACCCCATCCTTCTTGTCCATTACTATTCAATCGATTCTAGATTCTAAAGGTTACCAGTAGCAACTTCCAAATACCACATCGTTCTTGTCCATTACTATTCAATTGATTCTAGATTCTAAAGGTCTGTAGCACATAACACAACATAAGCTCTTTTGCAGTCCAAGGAACGATGGGTGACCTTCTACATGTCACTACATCTTTCTGACATGTAGTAAAATTTACCCTCAACATTTCACTTCCTTCTCAGTGATGGATGGGCACTTATCATTTATTTATATAGCCTACAGCAACTGAATCTGTCAACAAGCAAGGCCAATCTATTTTTTGCAGAAAACTTCAAGTCGGAGTATGCATTTGTCTCCATTTTCAAGCCATCCACACGAGAGTCTCTATTTTTATCCAAATTCGGGCCATCAACTTGATGTGAAGAATCTCGTTTTAACTGAAAAGCTGCATAAAAAAGTTGTATTTCTTTTGTGCTTTCCCCCCGTTTAAATGCAATAGCTAAATGTACAAATTGGAAAACCCGGGGAAATCTTTGTATGTGTTTTCTAAAGCAGTCTCATTTTTATGTAACTTCACTCTAAATCATGCAAATTGAACTCTCTGTTTCAAATAGAAATTATCCCTATTCACTACTCTTTCGTGATAGCAGAGTTAAAGCCATAGTGACAACCATAGCAATGTTTTATAAGCAACGGTGCATATGTGTCCTAAGATAGGTCTGATCATGCATCTAAAACATACATTTATAGGAATAAAGTGTTACTAGCTTTAACTATGATGGAAAAATGTTTAACTTATATGCCTTTTTTAATCCAATAGATTGCCTGTGACTTAGTCTGTGATTATCCTTACGTTTTTTCCCCTCGTAGAAGAGACTTCAAGTGATTGACTTCCTGAATATAGCCTATAAATCAACCAAAACAGGAATCCTTGTGATTGATGCATATGTTTGTGAGAGTTTTTTCTGGGTGCTCTAGCACAATGATTTTTCTGCTTTTTTGTTGTTAACTTGAGAGATGAAAGCTTGAATGTGAAGGGTCATAGTGCACAGGCTCTTTAGTTAGATAAAGCTTGAATGTGATCTATGACTAAGGTACTGAAAAAGCAGCAGGGCTGATGCCTGGTCCATGTGGGAGGAAGAGAGCTGTGTATGTTTTGCCTGTGATTGCGGGAATCAAGGGGATGCAGACTAGAAAGCTGTCCGGAGAAGGAATATAGAAATATTACTGGGATATGGGAGTTATGGACCTGCGCCTGGAAGTGGGATCATGTTGAAATAGTTATGTCTAACATGATCATGTTTGTAGAGAGTTATTTGGGATAGTTTAGCATTTCACGTTTTGGGGTGGCGGTGGGAGTGGGTGGAGATTTTATGGGTTGGTGTCGGTGGGTAATGTGCTTCAGTGTAATGAATGATTGTGTGTCATAAGCTTGATCACTATCTTATTGGATTTCAAGTTATTATATTGTTCCATATGAAAAACTGTTACGCTAATGTGTGATGGTCTAGCTTTGCTTTATTGAGGTTAACTTTTGCTAATGGTTGTGTAAACCACTAAACCGATTCTATTCATATGAATTATTAATTTGAAGATTAAATCATCATTTAGGTGAATGAAAAGCATATCATATGGCCAGAAAGGAATACTTCTAACACTTTAATTATTAATCCCTCTCTTCATTTTATTTTCTTAAATTATTTCTATCAAATGATTTATTCTTTATCCTCTGTAGGTTTTGGACTAACTTGTTGGATGTTGGCATTTGTCTCTTGGCTGTTGATGAAGCACATTGCATATCAGAGTGGGGACATGATTTCAGGTTGTTCATTTTATTTGATTTTTTTTGGGTCCTAAATGTTCTGTAATTCTTCTGTATAATGATTGTATATTTGTATATGGCCATACTCTTTCAGTCTCTATTTGGTTTCCTATCGACATCAAATAATCCTCAGCTACAGGTGTCAGCTTTGCTTTCAGTATATATCAATCCGACAAGTTATTGAAATCCTAATATTATTAATTGAAAGCATGTGCGAGACTTGTGATAACTTTGTTGTTGGTTTAGTGCTCATCTTGGCTTTGCTATAAATGTCCAATCCCCTTATATATTTTAAAGTGAGGGCCGTGACGCTCATCAGTATTGCAGTTGCTCTTTTCAAGCTTGCTATCACCCCTTCCAGATATTTTGATAGGATTGTTCATCTATGTGGTTTAGATGATAGATGTAAACAACTTTGGAGGTCAAAACAAATTAGTTTTCTTCTCACATAACTGCACATGAAATAAGACCTTACACCTTGATCTGTTATGAACTGAGTTATGATAGAAATGGACACATATTTAGCTTATTATATAGAGATGTAGTTGCATAATAAAATATTTAAAATTTTGGTTTTGCTCATGTGTTCCATAGAGGATCCGATGGTTATAAAGGGGTCCCCACACTTCGTTTCAATTTTCTATGTTAATCTCACAAAGTTGGACTCCAAATATCACTCAAGCATGCACATGACTTAAATCCAGCCTTCAATTAATTTACATATGGGCCCTGCTCCTTTTCAAGGTGAAGCTTGCTCAGTTTGGTCTATATGTGAATCTCTGCTTTCATTAAAACATGCACCCTCTTTTTTCCTTTATGTTATGTGCATGGCCTTTTATTTCCCATAAAGGTGAGGACGACAGTTGGCAGACAAGACAAAGCTACATCATATATTCTTGTGCAGTTATATTAGTAGACATAATCATGACTAGAGCTCATTTATTGCAAGGTCTGAAATACATTCCACCAGAAAAAAATATAATCAGACAAAAACAAAAACTTTCTAATAAGTAGTTTCTAAAATGATTCCTAAATCAATTGACATCCATAGCTAATAATTTATCTTTTAAGGACAAGGCTACAATAAAATTTGACTACATCAAATTCTAATGTTAAAGAAATTCAATCATCAGTTTTCTTTGTTCATCTGTTCATCTGTGATTTTCCAAGAGAAAGTCATCACACATCATAAATTTTTTCATCCTAATTCATCTAGTCTATTCTTGGATCACTCAAGCAGTGCAGTCACCTGAAATATGTTATTGAACAAATGTAGTGTGGCTTTACTTTTCTATGTGAAGCTTTTGTAGTTGATCAATGCGAAAAATTCCTTTATATTAAATTATTCTTGCTTAAGTCAGATCACTGTTTGATGTGATCAGGGTTTTATGCCTGAATATAATTAAAGATGTTATTATATATTAAATTAGAAGATAACTGTTCTTTACTTGCGATTTTCATTTGGATTGCTCTTTGTTTTACGAGAGTAGAATCTGGTTTAGTGTGTACTTACCCTAAATTTCTCCCTTCCATTTTGGTTCATCTTTTTGCATTTTAAATTTTCTTCCAAAATTTTTTTTGGGATAAAATGATTTGATTTGTGTTCATTAGTTGCATAAGGTATGCATCCATGCTCTTATAGATTATTTTCCTAATTATACGATTAGTTTCATGATTTTTGGCACGCCCTTTTTTGATTTTGCTTTGGTAATTCCTCCATATATCATCAGTGATGATCACTTCCCATTTTTTTCTGTTATTTTGCAGGAAAGAATACAAGAAGTTGCACATGCTACGTAATATTCTTCCAGATGTACCATTTATTGCTTTAACTGCCACTGCCACTGGGAAGTATGCACTGTCATCCTTCACGGACACATGTGTCACCTGTTCTCTTTATGTACTATATCAGAGTTTCTATGTCTTAGAAGTCCCGTTTAGTGTATATGCAGGTTGTAAATTTTGGTTTGGTTGGGTGTAGTGTCTATTAGTCTTTTAGTTTTTATAGTGTTCTGGTTCTGTGTCCTTGATCATAGTCTTCACCCTCTGTTTATGTATGTGCATATGCGTTGTGTATGTACTGTCACGTCCTGCTTGCGTTAGTTGAGAACTCCCGCCCTCCCTCCCTCCCATGCTACTATTTTATTGACCTGCAGCAGGTCAACTTGATCATTGAATTGCTTTAACACCATTTTAGTGTCGATATATGTTTACGTACATGTGTACACGTAGACATACACATACACATACACATTACACGCTATATTCAGTACTTCATGGGCTTATCTTATTATCCTGCTACTTATTTTATTGACCTGCAGAAGATCAACTTGACCGTTGACTTTTTAGCGCTTTTTAGCCTTCAGCCCGTTTTAATGACCACATATATCACATGCTATATTCAGTACTTCATGGGCTTACCAATGTTATTTTTAACCCTCAACAAAACCCTCAAAAGTATTATGTATCATAGATGTAATATAAAGACCATTCCAGTGACGAGATATAGCGTATTCGTTGCGAAATGCATTTTCTTTCTGTAGTTCTTGCAGATATGTCTGAAATGATTTATACTGTTTCTTTTTTTGTTAAATCTCCCAGGAGCTTCTTAGATCTAAATCCAAGAATTAATTTGGGCCCTTCAAGGATAAACAAGTAAATGCTTCAGCATTGTGCTTAAGACAAACACAAGGCATGTTGGTCTAGTTCATTGATGCCTGTAAAGCGTGCAAGCATCAATGAGCTAAATTAAGTGCTTCAAGTACACTTAAATTTATCCTCTTCTTATAAAAATATGATCATCAATCAACAATTCATGGTTTATGAAGAATTAGGACATAAGTATTAGATGCTGTATTAAGTAGCAATTAGCAGAAAAAATCCCACTGTTTCCATGTTCTGAGAATTCAAAGTAGGCAAACACTTCCATAGTTCTACTTATTCTTCTCCCTTTTAATATAAATGATTAAACCTTTTTTGGTACATTTTTATTGTAGAATGTGGTAGCTTACTCTATTTTTTTTTACCTACAAAAGCTTTTCATCTCAACATTTTTTAGGACGCTATAATGAGTAATTATGTATAAACTTCCAATTTGTGTTTAGCAATTTAAGCATGAATGTGAAACTTGTGGCTTCTATCTATGTTTTTAATGAGATTAATTATGACTTGTTTAGGACTATTTGTTAGGACTTGAAAACATTATACAGTGTGCTCAAACACTAAAGGTCTAAAAAATAGTAAGATATAGTCAAAGCCTAACTTCTACAATGTTAAGAGTAATCTATTTTCAGCTGGTGAATTTAGCAGTGAAGATCTTCACAGTTATCTGAAACGGTAGAAAATCTGGTATTTCATCCAACTATTTGTCTAATAACAGGTTTCTTTTAAATAGGCTTTTATGAGGCTTAATGTCATCCTACAATAAACATATGATTCTGTTATTGCTCTTTAACTACGAACATATAAGACTTATTGTTTAACTATGTATACGTTGACGAATTTTCAAACCGATCTAATGGAGATTGCATGCTGATAATTAACTTTCAGCTTATTGTTTGTTGATATGTTACATACCTATACGTTTTCGCAAGTATAATTGCAAATCCTGGTTTAGAACTGATCTGTTTGTTAAATTTTAGCGGTATACATTTTACTAACAGAGTTCTGGTTTAACTTTAGTTTACACATGAAAGTTGAAACAATTCTGCTATTTTAACAAATGACAGTGATTTTTTCAATTTTATTTTTTATTCAATGCTGTTAATCACTGCATACACTTTTCACATATTCTTAAATAGTATTATTAAAGCTCTCTCTTTTAAGTTGGTATATGTTTTCGTAGGGTACAGAGAGATATTGTTCACTCCTTGCAGATGAGTGACCCTTACATTGCGATCGGCTCATTTGATCGCCAGAATCTATTTTATGGTGTCAAGATTTTGAGTCGATCAACATCATTCGTAGATGAGCTTGTAACTGAAGTCTCAAAATACAGTAACAATGGTGGGTCAACTATCATATATTGTACCACTATTAAAGACTCTGAACAGGCAAGTTCACTGTTACCATTATCCTTTTCATGTTTACAGATTGTCCTTGTTGTGCTTTCTGATGCTTAAGATGAGAATCTTTACTTATCTTACAACCCATATATTGCAGCATTATGCCACCTAGAATAAACATAGTACAAGCGTCACTCTCATCTTGCTCATCATCACATTCTGTACCAAACACATATAGCATTAAATTGTGATTTTAATTAGGAATTTTCTTTTGTTGGCAGCATTAATTATGATTTGAATTTATTGAGTGTAAGTCTTGATTTTAGCACTGCCAATGTTATGTTTAATATTTCATTTCATTGCATGCACAATACCTGGATAAAGAGGGTTGTCTTGGATAGCTTACAATGACCAGCATAAAACTTGGTTACATCTTAACAAATCAAATCCTAAATAACACTTGAATTTGAGTCAATAAAGAGGATGAATGTAGCAAACTCCTAAGTTTGATCTCAAAGGTTTGTTGCACAAAACATGTGTTTTTGTTCTCAATTTTTGCATCTATCCATGTCCAGGTAATGCTTGTTTAATTTTTTAATCTATATAAGAAAATTGTTTATTTACAGAAACCAAATCTGGTTTCTGCTTGTTTTCTTTCTTTGGATTTCTTGTAATATTGCATTTATTTCTGTATTATATTAGTATTCTATCTGCTTGGTGACCTCGATTGTGATTTTGCATAAATATACAGAAGAGATCTTATTTTCTAGTAAGAAAGATAGTACTCAGTTCGGATTCGACAAAATTTAGCTTGCATGTCATGTTTTAGGAAATAGTCATGCACTTCTGTGATGTCACATTGCATTTTAAAATTTTACCCGCATTGTTACTGAAGAGGATTAAGGGTTTGACATGAATTCTTTTGTAAACAGCTTAAACATAAGATGCTTGTGTGTTTATATGCCAGATCTGCGACTCACTGAAAGATGCTGGAATTAAGACTGGAATTTATCACGGTCAAATGGGAGCTAAAGCTCGTGAACAGTCCCACAAGTATCCTTCTCATACATTCTTCTTATATATTACCAAAAAGTGCTCTTAGCTTTTGTTGCGGCATTTATGGAAGTCTTTTATGAGAAAGCATCTGCCAATGTGCTCCAAAATTATGTACTATGGCACATGCAGAAAATGTTATCTGTTCTGCAAAGTAGTTAAATTGCAATCATTTATGACTAAGCTGCCTATTATGCTTGCAGATCTTTCATCAGAGATGAGCTTCAGGTTATGGTTGCCACTATTGCTTTTGGTATGGGTATTGACAAGCCAAATATCAGGTGTGTGATACACTATGGTTGCCCCAAAAGTCTAGAATCATATTATCAGGAAAGTGGACGTTGCGGTAGGGATGGTTTAGCTTCAATCTGCTGGTTGTATTACTCAAGAAGCGATTTTGGCAAAGCTGACTTTTACTGTTCAGAAGCACAATCGGTATGTGCTTTGTTGAGGCTGTGGCTCATATCTAGGGCTCCATGTTGAAATTTACCAAAAGATTTCTCGTAGCTATCTACTTTGAATACAGTAATTTTTGTGCTTTCTAATCTTATTTATATCCTCTGACTACCCTTTTTTCCAACAAGAATTATTTTCATGATTGTTACTAGGAAAGTCAGAAGAAAGCTATTATTGATTCCTTCAGGGCTGCAGAAAAGTATTGCTTGCTGGCTACTTGTCGCAGAAAGTTCTTGTTACAGTATTTTGGAGAAGAAACCACCAATGCCTGTGGTAAAATTCTTGAACTTTGTTCTAGCTGTGAACCTGTGTTCTTTTATCTGGAGAAACACCTTAGTTTGTGTATTAATGAGATAGTTAAGAGGACATGTGATACTCATCATCATCATCATGAGCGTTTTCCTATAAATATTGATTGGTCATGGAGAATGTAGTTGAGACCCCAAAAGAATCACTATTTTGATTAGTAGTCTGAGTTTTGGTTCTATAAGCTTTTATTTATTCTTTAATGCTACTATTGGGTTTCAGGTAAGTGTGATAACTGCACAAGGTCTAAAAGTGAGAGGGACTTGTCAAGAGAAGCCTTGCTGTTATTGTCTTGCATACAATCCTGTGGAGATCGCTGGGGTCTCAATATGCCTGTGGACGTTCTTCGAGGATCTCGTGTAAGCAACTCACAGTATTCTTATCATGTTTCATGTTGTATGATTGTTTTCTTAGATTTCTACACTTAGAGCCCCATTTACGTCATACATTTTCCCGATTAGTCTCTTCTCTTCTCTCGCGGTTTCCGTCCTAAAGCTTTTCATACACTTTTACTGTATATACTTGTGCTATTTTTGGGAATCACTTTCCTCATACATGTAAAGTAAGCTTGTCTGATAAATGCAGAGTAAGCAGGAACTATAACTTGGCTTTAATTTGCACAAAGCCATTAGTTATATATTGATATGTATTGCTTAAAAACATTTGTATATATTGAGAGAAAGATAATTATATTCATTATATTTGGTCCCACTGAGCTAACATTTGCTAATGTAAATAAAGCTAGAGGGGAAGGGATCAAGCATCTTTTCTCTTTCTTTCTCTGATAATCTTAACATGGTACCAGAGCTACTGTATATTTCTTTCCATCTAATCTCCGCCATCCACTAAAAACTAACCCTAACCCTAACCTAAACGTTAACACTTACTTACCTTCTGAAACATCAATAAACATATAAGTAAATATTACTATCCATTTGTACAGATCAATACATGCACATAACTTATGCACCCTATGCCTCCACAGAGTTCTTATTAGCACTTTCCTATTTTCTATATTTCCGAGTGCACAGATGGCTTGTGTGCATGTAATGGAAAACTATGGCTCTGTTACATTTTGCTCTGTTATCTATTACCATGCGTTTTAAGTCCTGCAAATGAGGTCTGCATAGTAAAGAGTACATTGAAATATGTTTCTTGCTGTTCTTTTGTGCTCAAGGTTTTAGCCATGGGATATAGACATGATATAATTGGAACCGTTTAATCTTTCTTTTGTTGTTGAGTTTTAACGCTGAAGACTAGAGACTGCTCATGAACAAAGTGCCTTTCTTCTGCACTTTTCTCCATCAACATAGGATTCCCATCTATTGCTTTCTCTTCAATGTTTGGCATATTTTTGCATCAACAATCTGAGCATCTCTGAGCGAATTCCAAACTTTTAAGTACGCTGTTTTTCCTCTTTCTACATGCCAATACACTCTTTTCCTCTTTTCAGTCAAAAAAGATACTGGATAATGATTTCGATAAGCTCTCGTTACATGGTCTTGGTAAAGGCTATTCATCCAACTGGTGGAAAGCCCTTGCTGGATTATTAATTGCTCATGGTAAGTTGCTAACTTAAAGGGAACTTATATTTCTGTTCGCTTTTTTCATAGAAATAATTCTTTATCCTTCTTTATAAGGAAAACACACCCACTCCCAAACATGTTTCTAGTATTTCTGTTTGTCTTTAACTGGTTGCTTTTGTGATGATCTATGCTGTTATAAATTCATTTTTTAATCTAGGGTTTTGTATAGCTGATGATGCGAATTTCTTTGTTAGTATCAGTTTCCATCTCCAGTGTTCAATTATTTCTTGCCTTAGATGAGTAATTTTTGAACCTATGTACATAAGAATTGTTATTGTGTTTATTTCTGAGACCAGAGTGTCCAGCATATCATCTTTCTTGCCGAATCTCATTGATATTATGTTTTTTGATGATATAGATTATTAGCATGTTGATTCTGCTTGTGATATAACCTCAATTACATCACGTCGGGTCATGAAGAGCAGTTTGTTTAATGGAACGCATACCATGAGACATTAAATGCTAGAGCAAATTCTCTTGCAAACCAGTGTTAGAAGGAAAACGTTAATCATGTTAGAAAGACCAGAACCAGCTTACAACTGGTTGCTTAAATATTCTCTTATAAACTCATGATGACAGTAGTAATGTTTCTTTACTGTTATGTTACCAAAATCTATAAGGTATTAGCTAGGATCAAAATCTGATTCCAGCACCTGGAACCACCTCATTATGGATTATCCCATCTAAACTGGAGCATGCCATCCTGGTTTGTTGCCTGCTATGTTCATACATTTAGATGTTATGATTATATAATATAATTAATTTAAGCACTTTTTTGGAAACCACAATATGCAAAAATGTTTTATCAATTTGCAATTCCTCTCTCACTAATAATTCTGTTATTAATAGAGGGAACCCAGAGCCCTCATCTCCTAGATCTCTTTCTTGACTCATGGGGTTAAGGAGATAGCTAAAACAGTATAGTTATTGAATGTAAGAGCATCATCAGAAGCTACCTCAACATTATCTACGTTAGCAGAAGGGTGAAATATGTATCCCACTAATTAGAATGCTTTACGACACTCTGTATAGTGATTGGACGAGTGACAACCACTTCATTTCAGACTGTTGCAATGGATGATAACTTCATGTGTGCTCAACATGTAGACGGGGGGGGGGGGGGGGGGCTGTGGACCTGAAGTTTTAGACATAGCCAACAAACAACCTCGTATTAGGTTTGACTGACATTGTGAAGCATTAGTATTCAAACAGGAAGCTGCGGTAAATTATATGAGATATCCAACTAATATGAGGCATCCAATTATAACTTTTGTTGGAGACTTTTATCCATGGAAGCCAATTTTTTTTTAAATGTTGTGATCCCATAATAATAATCATAACTGTAAGAAAAAACTATGACCCTTACTAGTATGATTATCCTGTGCAGATTATCTGAAGGAGAATACCCAGGATATTTATAGAACTGTAAGGTACTTTCTTGTGGCACTTCCAATGTCCATCTGATGGTACTTTTCTTTCATCTTTTTAACATCATAAAATTCACAACATACTAAACATTCTCTACGAGTTGTATTTTGTTTACAAATTTTGAATGGACAAAAGACATAGATGTTTCTTTTAACTGTTTCCAGTGTTAGCCCAAATGGGAAGAAATTTCTCTCTTGTGCAAATTCTGTGCACCAATCTCCATTGGTTTTAGCTATAACAAGTGAGATGATTGATGAGGAAGAGCATGGTGGTCAACAGAAGAAAGTTGGAGACCTGAATAACTCAACTACTCTAGAATATGAAGATTTCTCTGAGGTAAGCTTCCTGTTTCTCAAGTTTATACATTATGAAATTATTTTTTACAATGTTTTCTTTGCTAGATTTCCATGTAATGGTTGTAAAAATGGAACATAATCTTCTTATTCGATGAAATTTTTGTTTGGGTATCAATCTTGAAATTGTATGTTCTATACAGAATCTTCTTTGATATTTATTCTGGACCTTTGTTTATTGGGAGATATGGCTGCAACAGAGGAAACTAGGGCTGTATTTAGATGCTATCTAAAAGGTGAGAAATGAGAACAATTATAATCTAAATTACATGAAAAGAAACTTATAAGAATTTGTATAGAATGCAGATTTTGAAGGATAAAACTTGTAGTATTATACTATTGCTTGAGGAATTTTACATGAATCAAACTACGAATGAGGCTGCAGGAGAGTGGTTGGAAACAAGGGTTGACATAAGCATCTGCAGGAAAATGTGAACTTTATACCCTGAAAAAAAAATCTACAATGATGTGAAATTGTTGGAGAATTTGGAGACACACATATATCTATTGTGATTTTGGAGCACTTCAACTTTATATTTAGGCTAAATGTTAAGAAAACATGACCTCCGGGATGTTGTTGGAAAATTGCAATCAATTGTCTTTTCTTTACTTACTACCTGCGAGTTTTATCTTTTTATGGATAACTATGATACAGCTGTTAATGATAGTTGAATATTAATATTTACCTTTTATTCATTGAGCGTGTCATGTGATATCTTGAGATATTCATAATATTATGTGTTTTCTATGACAAGTAGTTTATCACTACTTTTTGTTATTTTAAAAATATCTTTTTACTTTAAACTAATCCATACAATATATCATTCTGCAAAAGCATTTTTATCACTAAAAGGTCATTCTATTCACCGAACTGCTTTTTGACAGAGAGGTTATGGAAAATCCTTTGTAAGTTTATCTGCACTTATGTGAACAAAGGAAAGGTAAGCGAGCTTTTAGAAAACAACCCAAAGTTCATGATAGTCTCATGAAATTTGACATTATTAATTTACAAATAGTAACAGATTACAGGAGAAACAAGTATTGGAACAACGATCAATGCAAGCAATACCTCCTGACCCAATCTGGTTGGGAAGTTACTCCACATTATGGTCATTATCTATACATGTCATGTCAAACATGTGATGAGATAGAGCATAATTCCACGCCATTGTATGTGTTTCTGTGTGAATGTATGCATGCGCGCACAGACAGACACAGACAATATTTATTCTATTTGTGAACGTCAGTCAGGTCTCTCAGACTTTAGATTTATATGTATTTGCTGCTTATGGACTTTGCCTAGAGAAAATGCTGGTATTATCTGATGTCTGATTGTTAGTAATAGCCTGGTAAATCTGAACTCAGAATCTTACCTTATTATGTCTTCCTCTTTTTAGGCTGAGACAAAGCTTTATCGCATGCTTTTAGATTTCAGAATGAAACTTGCACAAGATAATGGAACTGCTCCGTAAGTTGTTGCTTAACTGTATTTGAATTTGGTTTCACTAGAAAGCCTTTCTTTCTAAAATTTTATTTTAAATGCCCTGTTTCAGATATGCTATATGTGGTGATGAAACTATTGTAAAGATAGCAAAGATTAGACCATCTACCAGAGCCAGGCTGGCGAACATTGATGGTGTCAACCAGGTTTATGACTTTTATGACACTATTTAGTTTTTACCTGTTTCTATCTACTTTTACAAAGATTATATATTAAAGCATCAAAAATTTTAAAAGTTTAATTTAGTCATTTGTGTTATGAGTTGAACATGATCTGCCTGAAGTTATAGTTTTGTCTGTCAAATCATATTTCACAGTAAGTGGACACAATTTTTTATGTATTATTCAGCTTGCCTTAGTCAATTTTTTTGGTTTAATGTAGCACTTTGTGTCTAAGTACGGTGGTAGTCTTCTTGAAAGTATTTGTCAAGCATCAGAAGAACTAAAGCTTCCCCTGGATGGAGAGGCACCAGTACTACAAGCTGCTAGTACAAGAAAAGTCCTTGCAACCTCTGAGCGAAAATTAGTTACTCCAGCGAAGTTAAATGCGTGGAAATTATGGCAGAATGAAGAAGTTTTAATCCCACAAATTGCAGTACGTTTTCAGTAATTTAAATCATGTGCGTGTGTAAGTCTTATATGCTACTTTTCACCTCTGTAGATTAACCTTTTCTTTTCTTTTCTACTTTTCAGAGTACATATGGTATAAAGGAGCAAACAGTCACCACATACATCCTTGAAGTTGCTCGGGATGGACATGAGGTGAACTGGGCTAGATTCTGCAACGAGATAGGGCTAACAAGTGAAGTAGCCTCACAAATTCGTTTTGCGGTTACAAAAGTTGGAAGGGACCGTTTAAAACCAATTAAAGAAGAATTGCCAGAAGCTGTAAGTTTTTAAATCTCAATATACTATAGATATCCATAGTCACAGATGGCAGCGGAAGGTGTTTAATTAGATCATGTTATAAATAAAATAATTCTACTTGATGTCATAATTAGATCATGTTATAAATAAAATAATTCTACTTAATGTCATCGTATGATAATAGTAAAAGCTTAAAATTGATTCTCCATTTGATAATCTGTTGCCAATGTAGTCTAGGCTTGATGAATTCTCCTCCTGATCCTATCGAGTTTGTCACGCCCCCAAATGTCCACCATAGCTTGAGTTGTGACAACGGAGACACATGCATGAACATCTGCCAACTGCCAAGCCTGTTCTGCACTTTCATTGCACAAAATAATACTTCATGAAAAAAAACTTTGTCAATATTTAGGAGTCTTATTGCCAAGTATGAAGATTGTAACAAGCAACAATCTAAAAAGATAATAAAAATTAAATATGTTAATCTTTCTAAGATAACTGTAAATCCTTTAGCAGCTCAATAACTTTACTGCTTCACCGATTAATCAAAGTGCATTCATTCATTATGATTTCTGACATTTATGCATTACATGTAAAACTCTGTTTTACTCTAAAGTGTCATTATTTTATGTGACAAGTTTTCATGGTCGACCCATCAATGCATTCCTTATTGACCTAATGCATCAGTGCAAGATCTCATCTTGTATCATGATATTCACAATAATGTTAAAACACACTACATGTATACTATTCTCATTAAACTCTCCCAATCTTAATTTCAGTGTTAAAACACACTACACGGATATGACAACTATTCTCATTAAATTTCAGTGTTAAAACACACTACACGGATATGACAACTATTCTCGTTATACTCTCCCAAACTTAATTTCAGTCGTGACTATCAAAGGAGCAATGATATTAAATATCTGGGCTCTCGCAATTTCATCTTAATGATGTCAGATATTTATACAATGCATCATATGGATCTTTGATATCTTATATCTCCTTAACTATCTCATAGTTAAGCAATAAATAAAGCCTTTTATAAAATGTATCTTATACAGTTTTATTATATTACTATAGTTGGACATAAAACCAACAGTATCTTCCATCTTGGCAGTCATATCCTTGTTTGTATGGCTATTTGACTGCTATTCTGGACCTCGTGTCTGATTTAAATCTTAGCATTGGTTTATCATCCAAGTGAATGTAAATTATTGGTCATGAATGCAGAATGGTTTAAGCATGTGATATATAAATAGGAACCCTGTTAGCATTAAAGCACAAAATCTACAACTTATTAGGGTTCTTCTAGCTATAGATCGAGATTAAAACTGTCACTCGTAGAACCCATCCACCCACCCAAACCAAAACACTTGAAGCACATTTATCTACCAAATCCACCAGAGTGCAAAATAAAGAGTAAAAAAAGGAATAAAACCAAATCCTGTGGCCTGCCTTTTGCACCCAGACCTTCTGATTTCCGTACATAATGGGAAAGTGCATTTGCAGGTTAGCTATGAACAAATCAAGACTTTATTGGCAATGGAAGACCTCAATGTATCAACAGAAGGCTTGGGTTGGAAAAGTAACTCATCAGACAGTGCTCCTGTTGAGATAGACTCATCGGCATGCACCAGAGGAGACAGAACACATGAACCAGGAAGTTGGAGATCCTTCACCGAAAAAAGAGCAGGGTCTCACTCTGAAACTAATGGCAGCCAGACACTAACACCGCCAAGTTGTGAAACTATTGCAGGAACAAAGCAACCACGTAATGACGAGTCTTTACTTGATGAGTGTCCTTCAGTGAAACATCACAAAGCCAATGAAGGAGAGAACTGTCTTGATGGATTAGAGGCAACAGAAAGCACTATACTAGAGTGGATTGCAGAACACGATGGGGTAAATATCTGGTTTCTAATCCGCAGTCATAATATTTAGATACCAGTCCCTCCTATCTTCAATAGTTCCCTATTAGTCCCTCAAATCTTTGAAATTGCTCATAAGTCCCTCATATCCTACGTGGTCTTGCAATTTGATCCATCAATGACCAATGTACCCCTCAGTTTATATTCCCCCCAAACATACTCTTGTTAAAAGAAACGTTACTTGGGTATATTGATCACTGAGGGACCAAATTGCAAGGCGCCTCGGGATTTGAGGGACGTATGAGAAGTTTCAAAGATTCAAGGGACTAATATGGAATTGTTGAAGATTTGAGAGACATATATCTAAATAACTCTAAAATTGCTTGCTGCTTTATGATGTTTTTATGAAAAAAAAAAACCCTGCAGGTTTTATTGTCTGAAATCACTGACCATTTTGGAGGATCAGAGAGAGAGTTTATTGTCAACCTCGTGGGATGTCTTGAAGGGAAATATGTTATATTTAAGAAGAACGATATGTACAGAGCTTTATAAATGTAGGAAGTAGAAAGAACAGAGCAACTCTGACCAGACTTCAGTGTATGTTATCGACAGCCTAGCAATAGAAGTTAGGATTATTGTGATATTGTTGAGCTCCATTTCATGAGCAAATGCCAGATCCTATCTCCAATTTATCATGCCTTTACAACCCCCTCGAGCTCCATTCTTAACTTCCTGTCGCTGATGGTTGAAAGGGACTATGAATTCCATGATTTCGGTTTTAGTTGTGGTTATACATAACTCAAAATTTTGAGGTAAAGCAAAGACATTGTTTGCATCAAACTCAATAGTTGTATCTTTGTTTAGTTATGGATGCAAAAGCTATGCATGTATACCTTTAATATTTTGTTTGGCGATCAATGAAATTGGATTTGGACCTTCATTTACAAAGAAAACTAACGTGCGTTCCTCACTTCAGTGGGAAGAGCTCTCAGGTTAAGATGCATTCTGAATAGATACTCTTAACATTTAGTCAAAAAAACATAAATATACATGGACTTGAAAAGGATCCACATTGGGTTTCTCATGATGCCGCATCTGTTAGCATGCGCTTAAAAAATACAGTGGAACATATATCATATATCCATATGTACAATGGAAACCTTTGATGTAACGCCCACATGAAATATAGAGCATCAGTTCCATTTCATAAGAAACATATTTCAATCTGAGTACTGCCCAGCCCATTTGGCAAGGTTTGCTTCATGTTAAATTGTTAATACAACTCAAAAGATTACCAAAGCAAACAAGCATCAGGTGCTCTATCTCATTTACAACAAGGCCTAGGGTTTGATTAAAAACAAAACCCACTACACAAGCACACTTGATCATCCATTTACATAACAGACCATCCAAAGGTTTTGAATATAATCATCACCTCACCCTACAAGCAGGAACAGGACCAGGTGAGCAACTTGAGCTAGGGCTTGACCTGCATCCCATCCCATTTCCCGGAAATCTTCGATGATGAATTCTAGGGTTTGGTAGAGCCAGCATTGAGCCCTCATTAGGTTCATTTTTGCAGCATTGTAAAGGTTCGAGAGTCTCAACAACGTCACTCATGAGTGGCCTTGCCTTTGGGTTTTGGCTTAGGCAGTAGTAGGCAAGGCTGCAGGCTTTTTGTGCTGCTCTCACTGAGTACTGCTCTTCTAGCCTTGGATCGATCAGTTGGAGTAGCTTTCTCTTGTCGTTAAGCTTTGGTCGAGCCCAGTCAACTAAGCTTATCTCTTTTCCCGGTCGGGTTTTGTCCACTGATTTTCGACCTGTTAGGAGTTCGAGAAGGACGACACCGAAGCTGTACACGTCACTTCTAGCAGTCAAGTGACCTGCTCATGGAATTGAAATGCCAAATATTTTAGCAGAAAATAACATAGGGAAGATGGAGATGGACATTTCTTATAGCTGATGAAATTAGCACAGGCTATTTTGAAATAAGAAGTCACCAAACCCTCCCCGAATAAATCATAAAAGAAACATCTATCAACTTGCCTCACTTAAGTGCCATGATTGAAGAGACAGTTATTTGTTAAGTTGTCACGAGCTCCACACGTGACAATTATTAAAGTGAAAAAAAAGGTAGTTTAGACTTTTTCCTCTATTAGTTAACGTTGCTTATGAGAGTTTTCAATAGTTGATTATTTTAAGTTGTCACGAGCTCTACACGTGACAACTAAAAAGTAAAAAAAGGGTACTTTAGACTTTTTACGCTATTGGTTAATGCTGTTAATGAGAATTCTCAGTAGTTGACAGAGGGTTAAGAGTAATTTTTAAAGTTCCAAGGAGGTTTTCTAATATCTATAAAGTTCAGGCAAGTTTTGTGCAAAACCCCTAACTTTCAGAGGAATTTTGCGAAATTTACCCCAATAAGAAGCTGGATGAATGATAAATGACAACAAAATCAGCACTGGTGCCATCACAGTTAGCATACCGGTCATTACATATTCGGGTGCAGCATATCCATAGGTGCCCATCACACGTGTGGATACATGGGTCTCGTCACCCTCAGGTCCAGCTTTTGCAAGTCCAAAATCAGAAAGCTTTGCTGTATAATCCTGTTAATATATTATGGATAGGTGTTATCAGGTACCATGACCGATATGTGCATCTTCCAGAAATAGAGAGATAACATTTACTTACAGAGTCCAGCAAGATATTCGAGGTCTTAAAATCTCGGTAAATAACAGGCCTTTCTGCATTGTGAAGGAACGCTAGCCCTTTAGCAGCACCTAGAGCAATCATCATCCTTGTTGCCCATGATAATGGAGCAGCGGTCTCTGAATGGATCAAGCAACGAATCATAGGTGAGGAGAAAACTGAATATATTGAAAAAAAAAAGACATAACATAACAAAACAAAACATAACTATATACTTTCAACTCCAGGTTCTGAATTAAATGGGTCAATGCAAAAGAATGGAATATAAAAAGCAATACAAACTTGTCTCTTAGTTACTAATAGATGCGACTCTGGGAAAATAAATAGTCAACAAAGTCGAGCAAGGACGGAGAAAATTAACTTATTTGAAATAGCCTTGCTAGAATAAACCTAAGTTGCTCGATTAATTGACCTGCAGATGTCCTCATATCATATATGCATTTAGAAGGAGCCCTTGATGTCAGGTGACCAAGTCTTAAATGAATTCCTCATATATTATGTGATAAACCCCAAGACAATGATCTTGTAAGTTGACAAAGAATAGTGTTTATATCAAGAAAACATGTCTAGTAGATAAAAACAAACAACTTAAAGGAATTTAAAAAGAAATGAGCCTAAGTGCATGCCCATGCATTCCTATGTGCACACATCAAAAATATGCTGAGTGTGAGTGTCAGTTCATGTGCTTATTCTAAAGTTTAGCATATGCTTGAGTTTCATATTCTGTAGTACATCAATAGAAGTTCCCAGCACAGCAGAAAGCATTAATATGGTGATTTTTAGTTTCAACCTTCATAGGGTCCGAACTGACTGAGCTGTCTATAATGAAGACTTACAGCGTTAATCTTGACAACCTTCACATATGACTCTATTATGATTCGTCATATATGATCTATCTTGTTATCCAGTAGTGGATTCTTTTCTAAAATTGAATATGCTTTTATATAAGTGTATTCTACCAGAAAAATTCAGTCCAATAATGTGGAAGTGGAATACATACTTCTAAATAAGTGGTTCTCCAGGCTACCACGGAACATGAACTCGTAGACTAGCAGCCTGTGGTCGTCTTCACAGCAATAGCCAATCAACTTCACAAGATTCGGGTGCCTTAACTGTCCAAGAAAATTAACCTCTGTCTGGAGGAGGGAAAAACATGTTAGAATGCAACAAAGTTGATGAGGACTCCTGAGTTTTATCATATAAAGTCTTTTACAGAAAGATCATGCCCCTAGTTACTTTCTTTTCAATCTTGTATACTAGTGGTGCAATGTTCAGAATCAGTGGGTAAAAGTTAAACGCTACCTGAAACATATGGGTGATGAGGATTTTAGAGTGAAGGACAAACAGACAGATGAAACTTCAGTTTGTAAATTATCAGTAAATTAATATATTTCAAGATATCATGAAACCTTCGGTTGTTCGATTGAATAATCTTTCGGAAAGCAACAATATGCAGGTGACACTTGTGTAGAGTTTATGCAAGTTACTCAGCGCATGCCGGTATATATACACAAAATGGTTAAGACACATGGGTGCAGGATGCAGCTAGTACTATTGAATAATTTAACCATCTCAAAATTGTTAAATGGCGCAGCAAGTCTATCAATCAATGTCTATAGCAAAGACACCAGAACCAAGGGTATTGGAGCCTTTTGGGCCTTTTCTAAGGAGCTCATCTTAGGCTCATCAGTTCAGAGTTCAGACAGGTTTCAACCGGTGGTCGGCTAGCACTTGTTGACATCGACAAAGATAAGCTGCAGCTATAACAGCATGAATTGAAGGGCATTTGTTTCATCATGAATAATTTAGCACAAAGAAACACTGAAAAGTATAATCATTCTCAGTTACCAGCCATTCTCTGTGCCCTTGAAGACCATCCTTATTCAGTACTTTTACAGCCACAGGAAGAGATTTGAGGCCAACCCTCACATTTTCATCAATGTAACCTTTATACACAGTACCAAATCCCCCTTCACCAAGAACATAATCCGAACGGAAACTCTTTGTGATTGTCTCGAGCTCAAACAAAGTGAAAGCAATCACATTTGTGTATATTGCAATATTCCTCGAGTCTTCAATGTTGTAACGGATCGCAGAATCGCTTACATCGGAAAAAGTTCGGTTATGCTTCTTCTCTGAAGGAGTGCTCTTTACACTAACAGGGAACATGTGGAGCTGTTGAACTGCAAAATTTTGGAAGTGAAATCAAAATGATCAATTTGCAACCACTGGCTTTGTTTCTATTGAACACTAAACTCACTAGATGTCCTGAAATTTTTGCATAGAAACCACAAATTTCCATCTTTAAAACAGGAGCAATAAGACAATGGAGAGTTAAAATTGGGAATCTAACATACCGATTAAAATGTCAAAAAGATGACATTTTTATCAACAAAAAGTGAAAATTTTCACTATTGCTGGCTCAAATGCTACGAATAAAGTTACAGAAGGGACCAAATTGATAAAAGAAAAGAAACCCATCTCCAGAAACTTAGATCTGCAGGAAATTTGGCTAAAAATGGGAAATTTTTTGAGAAAGGGAAGAACCTTGAGCATGAGCAGCAGCTACAGCAGAGTCCTCTCTCGTGCCGCAATTGCCCATTTTTCTTTCTCCTCTCCCTCTCTCATTCTAATCCTTGACCTCCCCTTTTCTCCACCTTGCCTCCTTCACTTTTTGAT